CCACACGCCTCCCCCAGAGAGCCTCCTGTGGCTCCCCAATGTTGCTAGGAAACTCCGAGGCCCTCACTGTGGCCAGAGCCCCGCTGCCCCCCCCCCTCGACAGAGCCACACACATAAAGCGCTGAGAACAGGGCCTGGGGAGGTCACCCCCCTCCTCCCTGGAACCCCAGGCGTCAGCTTCAGTGCCCCCGCCTTCAGGTCGCCCTCCCACTCGGCCCATACCCGGCGGACGAGCTTGTGGAGTGTGAAGTTGACCAGGCCGTGCTGCAGGAGGGCCCCAGCCCCGCGCAGGTAGTAGGAGCGGTGGCCCGACACGTGGGACAGGCGTCTGGGGACAGATGGGCAGACAGGCCAGTGCCATGGGCCGAGGGGCACGCCAGCACCCGGGGGCAGAGGCCAGCTGCCAGGCAGAAGCTGGCATCAAACATTCATGCTGGGCGAGGCCCGGGCGGTGCCGCACCCCGCACAGAGCCCCAGGTGAGGAGCCGGCAGCCAGCTGGTGGGGCGGAGGGGGGGGCAAGGGGGGTGCGGGAGGGAGAGGCGCTCACTTCTGACGGATGATGTCGAGTTTCTCGGCGATTTCCAGGTGGCCCCGGGGTTGGAAGGAGAAAGCTGGATGTGGAGGCAAAGCAGTGGGGTGAGGGGGGTGGGCAGGACAGAGAAGGGGGGACAGGAACAGAGAGGATTAGAAGGACAATGGGAAGGAAAGGCAGGAAGACAGAGAAAGAGAGAGAAGGAAGCAAGAGAGTCAGACAGAGGGAGACGAAGGCAGAGAAGAGAGCCAGTGATGGAGAGAGACAGAGAAGGAAGAAGGGTAAGGATTTTCAAGATGAGGGAATGCCGGCCAGTCCTTCCTCCCTTCCCTCCCCCTCTACCTCAGTGTACCCCCTTCCTACCCCCCACCCCTGCTACCGGAAGTGTAAGCCCAGCTCTGTCAAGATTTCCATCTGGAGGGACAGGAATTCCTCCAGCAGTTTTGAGCTTTGCTCCAGCCCAGGGCCAGTCACCCCGAACATCTCCACCTGGGTCAAGGCAGGAGGACAGGAGTCAGGAAGTCCTGGTCTACCGGGGTGACCCCCCAGCCCAGTCCCAGTAACGCCAACCTTGGTGAAATGGTGTACTCGATACAGCCCCCACGGCTCCTTCCCTGTGTGTGTCTCTGCCCGGTAGCAGGTGCTAGAACAAACCATCCTGGGGGCGCGGGGGAGACGAGGTCAGGTGGGGGGGAGAGGGAACGTCATGGGCACGGGGAACTGGGTGTCACCTGACTGGCAGGTCCCTGAAGGCCACCGAGTGGTCCATGAAGTAGCCTGGGAGGAGATGGGACAGGACAGTCAGCCGTGCGGTCACGACAAGGCTCTGAGAGACTCAGAAAAGGCACCTCCGCTGGCGGAGGCAACCTCACGGCAGGCGAGTGGCTCATCTTCCCTGTCTGTTAGCAGTCAACAACCTAGGGAGCTGTACGCACCGGCCCCTGGAGCCTGGATGTCCTCCACAACCCCACCTGCTCTGAAAACACTGGAGGTGACCACACCACTCCCTGCCCCTGGGCAAGGCTCACCTGCAAGTCCCACCTCTGCTGTCCCCGCCAGGTTGAGGTCTTCAAAGCGGGAGGGGTCGATGTTGTAAATCTGGGATGGGCTGGCATTTGGTGTCATCCCACAGCCTTCCTGGGGGGGGCCAGGCCACCAAGGTCAGGGGGCAGGTAACCGAGGCCTCCCCCATTTTGTAGGCATGCCCTCTGCTCCTCCCCGGAAGCACCTGGAATCGCCTGGCCTCCCTGTTTTAAGCTGGCCCCCCTCAACCCAGCTCCAGGACAGTGTCAGGGGAGCCAGGCCGGCCTCCTGCTGGGGCCCCAGGACAGGGCCCCTCACTCACAAACACGGCTCCCCGGAGGAGGTCTGGCACCGTCATGGGGGTGAAACCCTGCGAGGGGAGAGGTGAGGTGAGGAGCACGGCCAGGATCCCGTCAGACCCAACTCGGGCCTGAAGGGACACTGTGCAGGGGCCAGTGGTGTGCCCGCGGTGCCACAGACCCTTCCACTGCAGGGGACACCAGCAGGTTGCACTCTCAGGGTTCGGGGCCCCAGTCCCCGGGCACCTTGTGGGTTTCTCACTCAGTCTATCCCGCGGGGGGCAGCCAGACATGTTTAAAACAGAGCTGGCCACACGCCTCCCCCAGAGAGCCTCCTGTGGCTCCCCAATGTTGCTAGGAAACTCCGAGGCCCTCACTGTGGCCAGAGCCCCGCTGCCCCCCCCCTCGACAGAGCCACACACATAAAGCGCTGAGAACAGGGCCTGGGGAGGTCACCCCCCTCCTCCCTGGAACCCCAGGCGTCAGCTTCAGTGCCCCCGCCTTCAGGTCGCCCTCCCACTCGGCCCATACCCGGCGGACGAGCTTGTGGAGTGTGAAGTTGACCAGGCCGTGCTGCAGGAGGGCCCCAGCCCCGCGCAGGTAGTAGGAGCGGTGGCCCGACACGTGGGACAGGCGTCTGGGGACAGATGGGCAGACAGGCCAGTGCCATGGGCCGAGGGGCACGCCAGCACCCGGGGGCAGAGGCCAGCTGCCAGGCAGAAGCTGGCATCAAACATTCATGCTGGGCGAGGCCCGGGCGGTGCCGCACCCCGCACAGAGCCCCAGGTGAGGAGCCGGCAGCCAGCTGGTGGGGCGGAGGGGGGGGCAAGGGGGGTGCGGGAGGGAGAGGCGCTCACTTCTGACGGATGATGTCGAGTTTCTCGGCGATTTCCAGGTGGCCCCGGGGTTGGAAGGAGAAAGCTGGATGTGGAGGCAAAGCAGTGGGGTGAGGGGGGTGGGCAGGACAGAGAAGGGGGGACAGGAACAGAGAGGATTAGAAGGACAATGGGAAGGAAAGGCAGGAAGACAGAGAAAGAGAGAGAAGGAAGCAAGAGAGTCAGACAGAGGGAGACGAAGGCAGAGAAGAGAGCCAGTGATGGAGAGAGACAGAGAAGGAAGAAGCTGGAGGCAGAGATGGGGCTGTGCAGGGGGAGGATGGGCAGGAGGAGAGAGGGGAGCACGGGAGGGAGAAGAGCAGAGGAGGCACGTGGGCGCCGGAGAAGCCCAGAGACAGCGACCAAAACTGGGGGTCAAAGAGCTGGAAACACACCAGCAGACCGCAAAGTCTGTGAAGTATGGGGGAGACAGTGAGGACCGGGGCCCTGCGCTGGGCCGGCAGAGGAAGCCACCTGGCAGCGCCAGGAGTTCTGAGCGGTGCAGCTCCCCACCCAGCAGCCCCCACCCCAGCCTGGAGCCCTGGCCTGGGGGTGGCTCACCTGGCTTGTCTCCGACCACGTGGAGCACACGGGCCTGGCTCTCGTCCCCGACGGGCTACAGGGGGAGAGCGGGGGTCAGGGGAGGTGGCGCTGGGCAGGTCTGGCTTCCTGCTGCCTGGCAGGGCACCTACCACGTCAGGGTGGGTCTGGTTGGGCAGCCTCAGGGCCCGCAGGTAGAACTGCTCCTCCAGCTGGGCCTTCTTGGGGTACAGGAGCACGAGCTGCTTCCGGAGCTCCCGACCATGTGCCCGCAGAGTCTGATACTGAGGGTCCTGGGGGCAGGGCCAGCGGGTCAGCCCAGGGCAGGCTGGGCAGTCCCTCACCTGTGTGACCGCTAGCCTGGCTTGCGGAACGGCTGTGGTGGACGTCTGTTGCCTCTTTTGGCTCATCATCCTGAATTTCCTTTTGAGAATCTCCCCTCACCGCCGAGTGGCTCACGCCTGGGAACATTACTCAGGCTGCCTACCAGAATGTTCCATCGCCATGACTGGCCTAAAGGCCGGCACATGACCCGAGCCGAGGTCATGAGAACCAGTCCCAGCACCACGGCTGGAGCTGTCAGGGAAACAGGCCTTTCTGCACCCGACCTGCCTCGCCCCTCTCCAAGGGGCGATCTAGAAATGACAGGGAAGCCAGGACCCAGGCCAGCTGTTCCTGAAGCCAGCATTTTAGTTTCCCGAATCACAGAGCCTGGTCTTCTCCTTAATCCTGTCTGAGTTATGTTTTCTACCACAAACCAGGGAGGATTCACGATGGATGTGGTCTCCCCCGCCCACCCCCACTGCCGACAGGACAGCGGCTCCCTGCAGTACCTGCTGCACTTGTTTGTTGTCCTGGTTTACCTGGTAGAAGAGAGACAGAGGCAGTGATGAGGCTGACTCAGTGGGGGGCAGGGAGGGGCTGAAGGGAGGGGTGAAGGTTCAGGCAGGGCCAGGGCACCTGAGCCCTAAGCTCAGCCAGTGCCTGGCGTGGGCGACCACTATGTACACATCTGCTTATTATTTTGTGATCATCTGGAAGCCCTTGGTGGCAGATGCTGTTGGCTGTCCAGCCCAAGACCATTTGCCTTCCTCCCTGCCCCCCTGACTCTATTCACTTCTCTCCTCCCCCAACACAGCTTGTGCTGAGGGAAAGTGGGCCCAGAGGACAGGCGCCTCCAATAGCTGAGCCCCCCGAAGTAGCTGCAGCCTTTCTGCTGACGCCTGGTGTAGGTATGGGGCATACGGACCGAAGAGGCATGATGCCCCTGCTGGATGCCCCTGGTGGCCGAGTCACACAAGCAAGGATTCGCTGTGCTATGGCAGCCAGCTTGGAACTGTGAGGGGAAACGAGTCAAATCTGCGAGTGAAGTGGCGATGCAGAGGGCGGAATGAACTTGAGCTGGCAATGTTGGGGGACACTGCTAATTCACCCACCCCAGGGAAGCCTGAACCTGGATGACATGTAATGTGAGGTGGTAAATGCCCGGTTATGTGCAGCCAGGGGCACCTTGACTGCCACCCCACCCAGCCAGAAGCCCCAGGCTCACCAGCAGGGCTTGCACAGCCTCGGCTACAGCCCCCTTCTCTTCCTCCAGGCTTTGGATCTGCTCTCGCAGCCGTCTCAGTTCCTGCCAGGTGGAGATCTGGGGGTGGACACAGGAGGAAGAAGGGTAAATGGCCACCATCCCCTGCCCACTGGCGCCTCCTCCAGTGGGTATGTGGACCAGCAGTGGAGGGAGGCAGACTCCTCACTGTCCCTGGGATGACCGTTCTCCCCCTCTTCCCTTCAGTTCTAGAACTCCCCGTGTTTAGCTAGGCACACAGTTGCTCAAAAGGTGGACAGTTTCTCTGCCTTCCTTGCAGGGAACCCCTGTTACACTCCTGAGTACCCAGAATAATGATTATGCAAGTAAGGGAGTACAACTCTCAGGCCCCTCCTTCCCAGGAAGCTCCAACCTGGACCGTCTTTCCCATTCCCTCAGGGTGGATGTGGACCCTATAAGATCGTTATCCAAAGGGACGCCCAGGGAGAAGACAGAAGGACCCAGATGCCAAGGGGTGACACGGAGCTGAGTCCTAGTAACCCTTGGGATAAAATGGAGTTGCTGTGAAACTTACATGTCTATATACAAAACTTTACGTATGTATAAAGCACTAAGAACAGGACAGCAGTGGGGCCCAGCAGAAGTCTGGAGGGGCTTGGGGTCCTCACCAGCCTCAGCATCTAAGCTGGTGACTCTGGCTGTAGTTCCCTAGGATGTATAGTGTTATATATGTACGAGCTGTTATTTATATTAGTACTAACTATGTTGTTAATACGTGTAACTAGAGTTACTATCATTCACTGCCTGATTCTCAACACCTGGGGTGTAGTAGGTGGTCTCGAAAGATTTGTTCAGTAGAACCATTCCTTCATGAACTAGCCCTATTTAGCGGCCAGCTACTGGGGGGTAGGTGAAGGATTCCGCCTCTCTGATTCACATCCCTGCCCCCTACACTCCTGTGTGGCCTTAGGGTAAGGCTGGCATGAGGTCAGAGCGCAGAAGAACTGGCATCATGTAAGTTCCCAGCGCAGACCTGGTAAGCAGTACGCTTTAAGGAACAGGTGCACAATGTGTGTCGAGATAAGGGCCCTGGTAGTCAGAGGACAGCTATCTGGCACATGGGTGTCAAGCACAACATTGGCTAAACTCAGGTAGGAACTAAAAATTCACGGGCTAAGCCTGTCCCCTGCTGGAGAGGCTCTCACAAGCCCACTGGGCCCCGTTAAGGGCAACAGCCAATCGGCAAAGCGCCCCAGCCCCGCGCAATCGCACTTACGATCCCCGGCAGGTCGTCCGGCCGTATCTCTCCCTTGCGGTGCTCCAGGGCACGCGCCGCCTCTTCGGGGCATGCGCATAGCGGCTCCATGGCCAGCTGCGGGAGCGCGCTGTAGCCCTCACGCGCGTGCTCGTACAGAAGGCTCCGGTTTCGTCTCTCCGTAGCGAAATTCCTCCTTTGGCTCTGGCTGTAGATGGAACTTCTGGGCCGGAGGCCTCGACCAGTCACCAAAGGCCACAAACGCCTTGCCATGGACGCTGCCATCTTGGATAGGGGACAACGAGTCACGCACCCTTCGTCCCGCCTTCTCCGCGTTTAGACCAATTGCAAAGCTGTGGTCCTGTGAGTCCCTCCCGTGTCGAGATTGATGCTTTCATTGCCCAATCGTCGTCTTCACCCCGCCTCTTTAGCGTACGCCAGAGGCAGAGCCAGCCAATCCCTGCCGAGATAACCCCGGAAGGGACTGGAGGCGGCGTTCGGCGTGTCTGTGGACCCTGTTAAAGGTTGGTGCGAGGTCAGTGGCGTCCTGTGCTCCTCACCTCTTTTCTCCTCAGTTTCCCTTTTACTCCTGTACGCGGGCGGGGCGGGCGGGTGCCCGGAAAACTATTCAGAACGAGGCCAAATTTCCGGAGGGACTTTCTGTTAGCAGCAGCGTGGTTAGGACTTCAGAGGAAATTCCTCAGATTTCACCAGAAGCCACCGGCGGCGGGACGGGGAGAATTCGCACCATCGTACGGCGACGAAGTCTCCGTACTTTCCCTTCCCGCCTGAGTCTCTCTTCTCCTAACAGGGACGCTGCAGGCGGTGGGATGTCCTTGTCCGGCCTTCTGCGTGGCCTCAAGACGTCCCTCGGTTATGGTGAGTGGGGTGCTTGGGCCGCAGAGCCGGGGCCAGCTCTGGGACGAGCGAGAACCATGGTTTTGAGCCAGGCTGGACTGGATGCATGGTGGGTGTGGGTGGAGCTGGACTGCTAGGGGAAGCGGGTGAAAGCAGTTGCATGGAGGGTACTGGAAGTTTGGCCCAAATGCTGTTTTTTTGGGGGGGGGGAGGGGTGGGAGCGGGTGAATGCTTATTTTAAGTACCAAGGTGGACGAGACATCCAGGCAAGGCGTCGTGGTCACTCAGCATTTTTTCAGGAGCTTAGCATGTGCCAGGCAGAACTTAGACCTTCAGCAAACAACACATGCTTCTCGTGGGCGGTGCTCCTGTGTTCCTTCACTTACTCAGTCTGCAGAGCTTTGTGAGCACCGGTCACTTTGCTGTTGATTGACACGGGATCTCACAGTGTGCTCAGGAGGGAGATGGGGTTATGGTGCCACTTGCAGGTGAGCACTCAAGGCACAGAGAGGTGAGGAGTCTCCTTCAAGCGCGAATCACTAGGAGGAGATTCCCAAGAGGGACTCCTCCCCTTTGAGGACTCTGCTGTAAGGCGGGACATACAATGGACAGTGAGGCCAAGACCAGATAAGGAGGGGAGTGTGGAAAGTCATCCTCGCTAAGGGACAGGATGGACCCGAACCCTGGACTGGACGCTGGCAGAGGACACGGCCCAAGGCTCTCTGAGTCGTCCTGTGTCTCCATGTGAGGCCAAGGCACCCTAGGGGTGTGGCGGGCGAGAGAATCCAGTTAGCTTTGCCTCTTCTTGCATCCCACATCCTGTCCATGAGAAAACTCTGTTCCTCTGCTTTGGAAATGGACAGTTGACCCTTGAACTACATGGGCATTATGTGAACTGCGCCCCTACTTCCTTCTCTCCTCCCCCAGATGAAAATATGTATAACTTAAAGTTATCCCTGCGTATTTTTTTTCTTTAAGATTTATTTACTTAAGCTTATAAGGTTTAGGGTGTACAGGCCAGAGGTATGGGGGCAGTAAGAGGATTCACCAGAGACAGAGTGGGGAGCAGAACAGGCAGATCCACTGTGATACACCGCTGAGAGGAGCAGCAGGGAGACAGGAGAGGTCTGCCCCACCCTGTGGATCAGCTCCCTGGCCGGGGATCGAACTCATGCTGCAGTGGCAGTGGATTGCTTCATAGTGCTGCAACTTAACCCTGCGTATTTGAAGGTTCTACATCCGGGGATTTAGCCAGACAATTTCTGAGGCTGGTTGAACACACAGATGTAGCCGCCACTGACAGACCCGTGCCTAAGCAGCCAGCACAGTTCACATCCCTGGTGTTCAAACGTCGGTCCCTCTGCCCTGCCTGTGCGCCCTTCTCTTACTGCACTGCAGCCATGCCGGGCTTCCTTCTGTTGGTGTATTGGCAGGCTGGTGTGGGGAGGGGGTGAGTGGGAACTCAAGCTCAGGGAAGGAATGGGAGCAGAGTGATTGCGCCTCGAGGGCGCAATGAGCACTTGGCCCTGACTGAGTGAGGTAGCACCAGAGGGGTCTCGGCAGGAGAGGGATGGACCTACGAGGTCCAAGGGCCCCTCTGGCTGCCTTTGCAGCTTTGGGAGGTGGAAGATGGGATGCTGAGGAGGGAGGGGTGGCGGGGATGGACAGACAAGTAGGATGCTATGGAGGAGGGAGAAGGAGGTAGATTGTGACCCATTTTGAAGGTTCAGCTGGTGGTTCTGCTTCTGATGTTGGAAGTGCGTGTGACAGGAAAACATCTCCTGGAACACCCCATAAAGTAGCTGTGGGGGGCATGAGTACCATGCACTCCACACAGGGTGTGTCGCCTCATTTTTGATCATTGTGTTTAAACGGCATTAATCCAGTCCCCCGGCTGTCTTTGCAGGCCTAGCCCTCACCCCCCGGCCCTGGGCCACCCGCACCATGGCCACCCTGAACCAGATGCACCGCCGGGGGCCTGCAAAGTGGGCGCTGGCCCAGCCAGGCCCCACGGAAGGCCGGCCGCAGCTGAAGGGCGTGGTCCTGCGCACCTTCATCCGCAAGCCCAAAAAGCCCAACTCGGCCAACCGCAAGTGCTGCCGTGTGCGGCTCAGCTCGGGCCAGGAAGCCGTCTGCTTCATCCCCGGGGAGGGCCACAGCCTGCAGGAGCACCACGTCGTGCTGGTGCAGGGCGGCCGCACCCAGGACCTGCCGGGCGTCAAGCTCACTGTCGTGCGAGGCAAGTACGACTGCGGCCATGTGCAGAAGAAGAAGTGACCGAGGGGGCCGGGCGGGCGGGCGGGGTCGGCAGGAACAGAGCCTGCCTCGCCGGGCTCCTTGGGCCGCAGTCCGGCTATGGAAGCAGCCACCCTTGGGCTCACATCCTGGCTCTGTCCCTTCCGTCAGAACCGGCCCATAAGGGTCTGGGGTCAGTTGTTGCGCTTCTGCCAGTCCAGACCCTGTACTCCCTGCCGTCTGCCGGGGAGGGTGGCAATAAACACTCCTCAGGGACCCTAGTGCTGCTCGCCATCACCGAGGCCTCGGTTACTGGCATGCCTGCCGGGCCCGTTTGCGTCACCAAGACATAGCTCCACTTGCAGTAACCCCGCGGGGTTCGCATAGCGCTGGCCGTATGGGCCTCACTCACGTGCAGGGGCTACTGTGTTAAAGGTGGGAGGCAGGAGGCCTGGCGAGCCTCCTCCCGAAAAACGGCGGTTGCTGTGGTGTCGGTGACAGAGGGGTGTTGAAAGGACTGCTGTCTCCCGCGGGTGCTCCCTGCGCGTGCTCTCAGGCTCCCAGGCCTGCCGCCTCCTGATTGTTCCATGACTGTGGGATTATTTGTTCCCCCTCTGGGCCTGTTTCCTCCTTTGGAAAATGGATACAAGAGTAAAGCTGGCCTCAGCTGGTCGTGTCCTTGGCCCCTGGGAGTTGGGAGCTGCGCGGATGTGGCTGGACTCTGGGGCCACCCGGGACCTGCCTCCCCTGCTTCCTGGCCGTTTCAGCCTTCTCTGTTCCTCCCTGGACTGAATGGCTGAGGTCATGCGCCTGCCCCAGAGCCGCTGGGAGAACTGCCGAGAACCCCCAGGGGCGCCATGCAGTGCCTGGGGCTTAGTGCACCCCCTAAAGCTCTCGCTTTTGGAAACATTCCATTAGGCCTTTGGGGATCGGAACCTGCTTCCGGCAAGTAAATGGATCAGATGCAAACCCCTGTCACCTCATGTTTAGCACCAACTTTATTGAGCCAGTTTGGTGGCTGTACCCCACTGGGGAAGTTGTGGGGCCACGGGGGGTCAGACAGGAGAGCTTTCCTTCCCAGCAGGCCTTGCTCCTGGAGCCCCTGTGCATGTGGGTGTGCAGGAGGTGTTGGAGGCAGGAGGCGGGCTGCCCTGTCGGCAGGGCAGGAGGTAGCCGGAGGGACCATGTAGGGTTGGTGGCTACTTGGCCTCAGGAGAAGAAACTGAGTCTGGTCCAAAGGGGAGGTGCTGGTGGGGGCTGCATGGGCCTCACAGCTGAAGCTCCGAGGCTCCAGAAATGCAGAAAGCGCTTCCTCTGATGCCCCCGGGACAGCTGGCCGGGGCCGCCCTCTGCTTCCTGCCAGTAGTCTGTTACCAGGGCGGTAGGTGAGAGCCGCACCCCAGCTTGCTGGCCACTTTCTCTTCGATTCAAGTCCCGGTTCATCCGTAGTTCTGTGCTCAGTTGACCCCTGTGAGCAGTTCTCTGCGCCCCTCCCCCCGGAAGCCAAGAACACTGTGAGCAGCATAGTGGGGGCCCAGGTTTGTCACCCAGGGTGGGCGGCCATGCCGAAAGTGCAGCGGGGCTCCTGGGAGGTGTACAGACCACGTGGGTCCCCCAAAGTCTCTGGGTGGCCCCTGCTCCTGACTGCAGAGGTGCCCTCGACATACAAGGTGTCAGGCAGAAGGTAGGTCCTCCCGGAAGGCTGATCATGCCGGGTGGCTAGGATAGGCGGATCCTGACCCTCACGCTGGAGTGGGTCACCAGGGCGCCATAGTGACCCACCCAGGACCGCGTGTCCCGTCCATACTGCTCGAAAGACACGTAGCGGATGCCCTTGCCGAAGTTGGTGAAGACGTGGGAGACCTGCATGGGGAGACCTGCACGCTACAGGCTAGGACCTGCGGGTTCCTCTTCCTCCACCTCCTCAACTGAAGGGTGCCCCCCAGGGTACCAGGCTCTGCTCTAGGCACTCAGGAGGCAGCAGTGAAGAAAGGCAGCAGAAACACCCTGAGCCACTCCCCTCGAGCTGACAGTTACTTGGGGACTGACACCCTGAAAACAGAAGGGCAGAGGGGACCCTGCGGGTGGAAGGGCAGGGCTGGCCAGTGAGTTGTCAAAGGCCGGTCAGGAGACATTTGAGCAGAGACCTGGAGGAGGGGAAGGAGCCCCATGGGATTCTGGGGCGTGTTCTGGACCAGAGGCAGTCCATGCCAAGGCCTGGAGCAGACTAAGGGAAAACTAGGCAGGGCCTGCGGGTCACCTGATCGCTGTGCCATTTGCCTTTGCAAATATTTAAGATAAAAATGAGATCAAACTTGCTTAACAAAATTGAAGTACAATTCAGTGGTTTTCAGTATAATCAGTGCTAGGCAGCCATCACCACCGAATGCTCTGGAACGTTTACATCACCGCAGGGAAACGTCCTCCCACCCACTTCCAGTTCCTTCCTCACTGTCCGCCCAGGGTCTCCACTCCGCATGCATCATACACTAGGCGGCTTCCCCCTCGGTGGGGTCTCTGTAAGGCTGGTCAGTGGTGTGGCCGGCCGTGCATTCCATTCCAGGCCTTTTTCTAGTCGTGGGCGGGACTGGGGCTTTTACTTACAGATAGTGGGGGAGGAGGCTGCAAGACTCATGGGAATGGGGTCTTCTGGACAGTAAGCCTGCCTTGGGTGGGCGGTGGAGAGTTTAGGAATAGCGGGGTAGCGGGACACCTAAGAGGCTCCTGTGGGGAGCGGCCTGGGCTTGAAACCCGCGCCACATGCTGCAGAGCGCCTCTGGGCCGCCTAACCTCAGTGCCTCCGCCCCTCAGCTCTAGGAGGGCACAGCGGACACTGGCACACAGGAGCTGCCCAGTAACTGCATGTTGGGCAGCTTGAACCAGGCCTGGCATTAAGGTGAGGGCTCAGGACTGTCAGCTGTTGTAACATACTCAGTGAGGGTGAGAACAGGAACAGCCTGACCCACCTGCCGGCAGCCCCTCTCAGTCCACTGCAGGACCGGGTTTGGTGACGCCGAGAACTTGATCACTTCGTTTTCATACACGTCCAGAAGGCGGACCCGCAGCCGGTAGATGCAGCCGCAGTTCTCCCGGGCGCCCCACCTGCCGGGTGTGGTGAGCCTTGATGCCCCCCACCGCCTACCCAGGTCTCTGGGCTGGGCTGGGCTCCCTGCGCTTTGATGATAACACATTCCCACACCGCATCCATAGAGAGCCCCAGACCTGGGAGAGTGGGGGAGGAGCCTGGTGCTGGGGGAGGAGCCAGGGCCAGAGGGTGGAGCCGGGGGCTGAGGGAGGAGCCTGGGAAAAGAGCCCAGTTTGGGAAGCTCTAGGTCAAGTGTATGGGGGAGGAGGAGAGAGCAGTGCTGGGGGAGGAGCCACAGTCTAGGATAGGAGCCTAGAGGAGGAGGGAGCTTGGCTGTGGTGGGGTGGACACAGCTCTGGAGGGCAGCTGCTGCCCCAGGGAAGAAACTGGACTCCCTGTGAGGAGCATGAGCAGCTTGAAGACAGTTTCATAGGGGAAGGGCAGACTGAAGCCAACCAGTGCCCCTGTCCTGTCCTAACTCTCCTCTTCTGGACCTCAGCGGTCAGCACAGCGCTCCCAATCCTCCAGAACCATCCAGAAGCCCATAGGGCCAGGGCCGATTTGCCAGTGATGGGGATGGAGAGGCCGAGGGGGTCGTCTTCAGATCCATGTCAACAACCCCAAGGCCTGCTGGCCGAGAGAGTTGTGCAGAGGAGGCTCGGCTCACCGGGGCTCACCCTCTCTGGCTGTGCAACCCGCAGGACAAGGTGTCCCCTCCTTGCCTAGGTCTCCCTCTAAGGCGCACAGAACCTTGGCTACTCGAGGGGCTTGATGGGGGCGTGAAATGAGCTGCTGCCCCCACTGTTTTGTTCTGGGGCAGGTCACCATTCACTCACCAGTCGGCCACACAGATCTCGATCTGGGCGCTGTCCAGCAGCTCCTGCCACACCCCCTCCATCACCAAGTCCACCAGCTGCCTCTTGAAGCACCATCTAGAAGGGGTCATGGGGGGAGCAGTCCTGTCACTCAAGTCACAGTTCAGAAACCTCGCCTGACAGCCCTAAAGCAGATGTTTGGGGGTGGTAAGGTAGGTGGGCATCCCCACTGGCCTCTGGGATCCCCCTCTATTCTCCATCCTCCTCTGGTCCAGGAGGCTGACCTGTATGCAGGCTTGCCCCTAACAGTTGTGGGGCAGTTGAAGGCCCACATCCCAGACATCTGAGCGGGACTTCTGGAACATCCTGTGTGGACTGATCTCCTTTACTCTCCACTTGCAGTGAGTCAGCCAGCAGGAAGCTCCACCAGGCCATGGGAGGGAGCGGCAGGCATTTACCCCCGGCTCCCTCCTCAGGTCTGGGTACCTCAGTGAGAGGCAGTTTCTCAGCACCCGCTCCTCAGTCTTGTGTCTTTGCAGTTGTGTAACAGCTTCTTACCCCACCAGTTAGGGATGGCTGTGGCCCTTCCCTGCGGTCACTAGCCCAGCGCCCTGGCAGTAGCCCCGTGGTTTGCCTCCACCTTTGCAGACCGTCCTGCCCTACTTTGAATGTGCCATGACAGAAGTGTATCACTGGTGGAACGTGACTGACGGAGCAGGACAGAGACACAGGGATGGGCCTCCAGGGGTGTGGCACCGTCATACCATGGGGAACAGGTGGTCCTGGGAAAACTGACTCACTCTGTTGGGGGAGGGGGCTGCAGTGGCTCCTTACCCAGCACCGCACTCAAATGGGGATTCAAGATCTAAATGTAAAACTAGAAGGAGGTTATGAGAAGGTGGCGTAAGGATCGAAGGGGAGGAAGTTTTTCAACCAGATTCCAAAAATAAATTCTGAGCAAAAAAGTTAACTTGGATCCCCTAGAACAAGACTTTTACTGAGCAGAGAACACTGTGGACACAGTCACCACAGGAGGCAGAGAGGAAGATTGCCGTGATGGACGGACAAGGACTGGCGAGGAATTCTGGTACATCAACAAGACTAAGACGTGAACCCTAATAGAAAACTTAGAGAAGAGGAAATCCAAAGAAATTAAAAAGCAGTACCTGGAGAGATGCTGAGTTATTAGTAGACTGGCAGGGAAATGCAAACAGCAGTGAGATGATCCCCCCCCCCCCCATATACTGGCCACTACAGGAAGCTGGGTAGTGTCCCTTAGGAGTGCTTGGCAGGGAGGTGGGCACAGGGAAACCGGCTGGGAATGGGGATAAGAGCATCCAAATGTTTTGAGGTCTTCATGGTTCATCACAACCAGAGGCTCTGCAGCCAGTTGTCTGGGTTGGGATCCCAGCTCCCCCTCCTCCATGCAGGCTGTCCCCGTGCCTCAGTTTCCTGTTAGTAAGTGGAGATAAGGACAATGTCCAAGTCACAATGTGGGTATCAGGGTTGAGAGTTAGATACATCGTCAGGCATTGAGCAAGCCTCTGAAGGCTTCTGTGATATTAGTATTTTCTGTTTATGCGCTCATGGTCTCCCCATCCTTCATTTAAAATGCAAATGTAAAAAAAAAAAAAAAGGTTCCGGATGCTTCAGCATTTTCCGTGTGTCTCGGAATCTAAAACTTCCTGATAACCCGGCGCGTCCTCAGTAAATATTTGTTAACTGAATGAAGGAAGGAGAGGGTGGAGGTGGGTGAGGGTCCGGACGGTGGGGTGAGGGTGGCCCCATCTTCCCGCTACCTCCTAGATCAGTCACTCACTCGAAAGAAGTCACGAAGCAGGTCTGGGCAGGAGCCCCAGGCACCAGCGTTAGGTTCCTTTCCACAGCCCAGCCGTTCCCGCCGTGCTCCACTTCCCAGCCTCTGAAGCCCTCTGTGGGATACAGGAAGATTGAGCTCGGGGGGCTTGCCGGTCCGCTCGCCCGGGGTCTCCGCCACTACCTAATTTGTCCCTCCCACCAGCTCCTCCCTCCCGCTCTCCAGCAGCCGCTTTTCTCTGGCCCGCCTCGCTGCAGCCGGTCTCTCCAGTCCCGACACCGGTCCAGCCCCTCGGCCACGCAGGCTCCCTCTCCCTCTCCCGGGACCCCGCCCCAACCTAGGCCTCCGGGCCCCGCCCGCTCCCGGGTCGCGGGAGCCGTGAATTCCAGGCCAAGCCCCGCCCCTGCCGCCGCCCAATCGCCTTCTCGCCAGCCCTGGCCCCCCCCCCTTCCCAACCCCCCCGCCGCGCGCCCTCCCGTGTAGGGGCTGGGCTCCCCGCCCAGACCGGCTCGGTCTCCGGCGTCCCGGCCAAACGCGCTCGCCGGGCGGCTCCTTACACCGCACGTCCCGTAGGTGTCCTCGGACCCCCACCCGGCCTGCCCTCCCGCTGCTCGGCCCGACCCCGGGCACCCACTCTCTCCGCAGGAGTTGAAGATGAGGTTGCGTCCGAGGGGCGCGCGCAAACAGTAGCGGGCCAGGGCGCAGAGCGGGAACTCCTCCTCGTCCTCGCTGCGGGGCGGGTAGCGCTGGGCCACCGCGTAGAGGGCGCGGCCCTCGGCGCTGTGGTCGCGGGCCAGCCGCAGCAGCCACACGGTGGGCCCGTCCACCACGTCGCGCCAGGCGCGGCACACTAGGCGGCAGCGTGTCACTAACGCGCGCGGCGGCACGTGGCTCAGCACCTGCACCAGCAGCTCCGGGGGCAGCGCGTCCAGGGCGAGGGGCGGGTCCGCCGGCAGCCTCCTCCGCGAGGGCCTGGCGCCCATCTCCCGCTGCCGGGCCCTGCGGGTTGGAGGGGTTGACGTCAGGTCAGTCTTGCCGCCCGCACCTGCCCTCCCACGATGCAAGGCTCCCCCGCGGCCTGATGGGGACCCCCAGCTCCAATGGGCGACTGGAGCGGACACGAAAACCAGGCACCCAGTTCCTGCCACTGGGTTCCCAAGGATGATTGAGAGAGACCTTTGTCCCACCCACCCGCTCCCCTCCTATAGAAGACCCGCGGCCGACCTTGACCCCAGAACTGCTGACCACGTTTTCTATCTCTGGGTGGCGCCCTTGTGTCAGGCTAATAGCCTGTATCTAAATATAAGCGCAGGAGGTCCTCCTCCCCTCCCCAGAAAAACCCATGGGGGCGGAAACTATTTCCACCCCATCTTCCAGTTCCAGGTCTCTGAAATTATGACCTGTCTTCGGCGAAATCTATTTCCTCAGTCTTGTTGGAACGCTTATCACCTTGCTGTAATTGAAATTGGATCCCTGAGGCTGCGGGGCAAACCAGGCTCTCCCAAATTTGGGACTACAACTTTGTAGGTGCCAAGGCCCCCTTCTCCCCCAGGTCCCCAGCGAGTGCAGCAAGTGTAAGCAGCCCCCAGGGGCCCTCTAAGAGCCCCGCCCCCTGCCCTGGGCCAGGACTGTGAACTCGGGGGAAGCACACCGGGGCTCAGGCTGCAGGGGAGGTTCCCCTCTAGGGCTGTAGGTAAGCTCTGGGACGGAGTAAGCTCTGGCAGAGGAGGTCAAAGCGAGCCCTGCACCTCCTGGCTCAGGGCTGCAGGGACAGCAGGGGAGCAGGCAGTAGAGAGGGGGGTGGGGGTCAACACAGGGGGCCCTGTCCACCGCTACTAGACCCCCGCTAAAGGGGCACCCGCGTGCCTCTTCGCGGTGTTCCGGCCCACGGGCCCACCGAGGCCAGGGCAGGTGGAGGCTGTTGAGGCTCCAAGAATTCGGGTTAATATTTGGCACCTGGACTGCTGGATGAACCGGCAGGTTCAAGCCCAGTGGGTTGTGCGGAACCATCCAGGCGGTTGCTTCGGACTGAAAATGGTCCAATCAGACTTGGGAAGGGCGGGGGATGGGCAGCGGCCCCGCAGGAGGATATAAGGCAGCACAGCGGGAGGCTTAGGCGTCCTGTCCTGGCCTCTGAAGGGAGACGAGGAGTTGGAGACTTGGAGACGGCACGGAGACCCACTCCTGCACCTTCCTCCGCCCTGCCTCTGACACCCCTGCAAATCCGAGAGCTCCTTCTTGTTGCTGTAGAACAATTCACAAAGAGCTGTGAACACTGGGTGTGTGTGACGAGGCCTCGTGACTGGCACTCTGTTCTCAAAGGGTCTCGCCTTGGAGCTCTGTCCACTGCTTTGGATTCCAGCCTGGCTTTCACGCGTGGCTGCGGGCTGCTGCTGGGCCACCTCAGCGACCCCCATGAGAGCCTCCGGCGTCCGTGAGTTGGACCCTGGCCGGCCAGTGCCGCAGGCGCTCCAGGGACGGCGCCATTTTGTACAAGCGGCCTTTTGTTCCTGCCTCCTGGGCCTTGTGGACACTATCTGGGCTGAAAGCGCAGGTCAGCTGTTGTTTCCTGAGCCTGAGGGCTTGCAAGTGAGTGCTGGGCTGCACCCAGAGGGGACCTGTTCTCGCCCTGCACTAGCCTTGGCTCACAACTAGGTCCCAGCCCCGCTGTACCCCTTCCAAGTGTGGGTAGGTTAGCAGTGTGACCAGCACAGTAAGCCGGCCACTCCCCCACTGCCTGCCCCATCTGCTGGCCACTCTACACTGTGTATTTGAGGGCGGTTGTTACTGTCACCGTGACTGGGGGATGCTCCTGGCATTGCTTCTGTTTCTGGGGGTCCACCATGCTTGGCGGATCATTTCTTTTGTTAACATTTATCTATTTATGCATACAAGGACTGGGGTACAGGCGAGAGGTGCAGGGGGTGAGAGGATTCACCAGAGACAGAGCGGGGAGCAGAAAGGCAGATGGACTGAAATCCATTGCTGAGGGGAGCAGCGGGCGGGTCAGGAGAGGTCTGCTGCGCCCTGTGGGTCACTCCCCGACCTCCCACTTTCTCCCCTTGCATCCTTATTCCTCTGCAGCTCTTGCCCCCCACCCCCCAACACACACACCATGTGTCCTCTAAGTACAAGTAACATACTTAGTCACCGCCTGTCTCCCTCACTGGGCCACAGTCGCCGTGACGACAGAGCATGTTTCTGTAGCGTGTTATCTGTCACAGTGTCCACGCCGGTGCCCGACACCCACGAAGGGTCATAAATGAGCGAATCCACGCATCATCACACTGGAAGCCCACTTCACAGATGAGGAAACTGAGGCACAGCAAAGTTCTTATTGTCCAAGCAGTGACAAGCCAAGGCTAGTGAGCACATCGCTTCGTGCATCTCTCAGGTGCAGCTCCCCCTCCCCAATGAAGCCTCATTCCTGGGTTCAGTCCCAGCCAAGCTTCCCGCTGTGTCCCCGGGGTGCCTCACGGAAGCGCCGTGTGCCTCAGTTTCCCCTTCTGTAACTGAGAACGTTGGCAGTTGCTACTTCATCCTTCATCGGGGTGTGCAGATAAAATGAGTGAAGCCCTGAGGCTACTGGTGTGTCATGACTAAGCGCCATTCATTTAATACTCAACACTAAATTATACTCGTTGCGATTTTAGTACACAGCACAAAAAAGGCACGAGCACCCCTGAGTGACCCTGTCTTCCTCTGGTGACATTTATGAGGGCCTTAGGAAGCCACAGGGCTGGGCACTGACATCAGGCCACCACCATAGGGTGAGGGGCAAAACGACCCTGTGATGTCGCCCTGGGTGAAGAGGCTTCCATGACCTGGTGCTCGGGGTGTAATCGGGTGCCAGTAAGCGCACACTTCATGCCAGCCAAGTTTTCAATAAATTGATCAAGGATTTGTTAAGAAATAAGCCCCAAGCAGGCAAACAATCCAGGAGTATGGCACGCCCCTTCGCCCCCCTACAGAATACCTGGTGGGGAGCCGGGTGAGCGCTTAGGAGGCGACCAGGAGGTTAGTAACCAGCTGCCGTTTGCGCGTCATGCCACGGCTTGCTGGCACGGACATGCAACTCACCAGAGTGTATTTTGTGGTCTGCTCTCCTTAGGATGTGCTGGTGGCTAGAAACCCGGGACCCTCAGAGCTGGGGTGACCCCCTCACATCAGGGCAGCCAGACTTCGTCGAGTTGCCGCGACCTTCAAGAGAGGTGCCTCATGAGACCAGAGCTGCCAGAACGCTGCTGGGCTTGTTCTGCTGAGGGCTGTGGCGCTGCCAGCCTGCCCGGCAGGGCGCCCACCTTGGGTTGGGTGAGTAGGGAAAACTATCGCATGCCCGCGACTGCATTTGGGGGGCTGTGTGTTTGGGGTACAGGGAGGTGGTTAGCGGTTGTCACAGTGACTGGGGGATCTCAGTAGCATCCCATTTCTGGGGGCTCACCGTGCTCTGCGGACTGTTTGTTCCCCTAATACGGCAGCAACCCATCTGGCTGTTTGCGTAGCAGTCGACCAGTTTTCCCCAAGAGTAGAAGCCACACCCTGGCCTTGACATGAGGGGCCCCATGAGGCCTCTGCCCCTGGTTGATATCGCTGAGGGCTCTGTGGCCACATTCCAAAAGCAGGTACCACCCTGCCTGGCTCAGGTGGGGTGTGCCTGGGCCTGGGAGCCCCAAGACCGGTAGTGTCCTGCTGAATGTTGAACCATGGACTCAGGGGTGGGGGTTGCATCTGGAGCATACCGATGGCGTCTTTTTGTGATGTCACTTTCAGTTGTGTGCCCGAGGCTACAGGCACGCGCTCTGTAATCTCCACAAGACTGCTCACACTCGGTGGAGACACTCCACGAAGTGATAACCACTCTGTGTCTCAAATCAGGACCATACTTTTGAACTGTTTAAACCCAATCCATAGAATTAAAACCACGTCAGAAACCACCCGCCCTTGCACTGTTAATGGAAGGATTTATGTTCACCACTTGGTAGAACAATCAATATCCGGTAGGGGCTGTGGTCGGGGCTTTGAGAGCGCACTGGGAGGTTTTCTGAGTAGACATGTGGCTGATCGAAGGAGGGGACAGTGGGGACCAGAACAAGCATTTGCTGGTTTCTGTGGCGTAAGCACAGCCACCGTGGCTGAGCCCAAGCTACCAAGTAAAGCCGGACCGTGGAGGGACAGAGGGCTGCCTGCTGTCACTACCCCTGACACTGCAGGCCTCAACTGGGGAGACCACGTGACGATGGACAGAGGTGCCTGGGGGCCCCAGCCATTAGGGGTGTCTCCACCTAAGAGCTAGACATGGGGCTGAATAAGCCTTTGATCACCAAGAGCCAAGAACAGCTTAGCTGGGTTGCCAGAGCCACAATAATAATGAAATGATTCAGCCGCTACATTTCAAGCAGTAGTTAGCTCTAGCTAAAGAGACCGTTGCTCAGTCACCTCCCTTGTGTGGCACAGGGATCCCCACAAAGAACTGTCTTGCCCCCCCAGAACGCCTAATAAGAACCAAAAGGCACCCCAACTGTAGATATGTGTCTTCAGATCCTGAGTGCTTCCAGTCTTCGAGATCAGGTCTGGGGCAAAATCTCTCTCTCCTTGGGGCCTAGTAAATATAATTCAGGAATAATGTGTTTTGTTTTAAAGCCATGCTTTTTAACGTGCCAGAAATCTAGTTGATAGCTTTTACTGCCTGTTCCAGAGGGCTAATTCTCTTTCTCTCCCCATCCTGTTTATTGTGGTAAAGTTGACATAACTGGAAATTTACCATCTTAACCACTCGGAAGTGCACCGTTTAGTGGTATCACTCGCATTCAAGATGTACTACCATCACCTTCAGAATTCTCCCCCACATAACAGCTGTCTCCTCTGTTACGCTTCTCTGTTGCATTCACCACTAATTAATCAGTGGGTCAGTGGCACTCACTGTCCTATTTTCTGTCTCTGTGATTTTGCCTCCTCTAACTTATAAACAGAATCATACAATATTTATCTTCAGTTTCATCTGTGGTATAATGCACTTGCAAAATTACCACTTAGTTTTCAGGGCTGAATAGTACTCTACAGTATGTTTATAACCCATCTGTTGATGGGCACTGGTTAGCTTTGGCATTTTAGCTATTCTGACTGCTCTGTATTTTTGTGGGTGTGATGTCTAGATTGCATTTTTTTTTTTAAAGATTTAGTTATTTGTGCATACAGAACTAGGGTACAGGCCAGAGGCTCAGGGGCGGTGAGAGGCTTCACCACAAACAGAGTGGGGAGCAGAACAGGCAGATCTACAAAGTACACTGCTGAGGGGAGCAGCGGGCGGGTCAGGAGAGGTCTGTCGCGCCATGTGGTCACCTCCAGGGCAGGCGGGAATCGAACTCATGCAGAAGCGGCTTTAGCTTCTCAGTGCAGTGCCTTAACCTGCTGCGCCACCAGGGAGGGCCTAGATTGCATTTCATTTAAAACTCTGGAATCTGAATCTTTCACATCTTGAGATTGTAATCAAAGACTTGATTCCTTTTGTGATGATGATATGGATTGAAAGAGCAAAGAAAGTTCTCGCCAAGAGTTTTAGGCATCACTAACATTTCAGACGGAGCAGACATATATTTATTTAGAAAAAATTTTTCCTTCTGTTTCTAGATCTAAGAGCAGACTCCATGTGTGCTTATCAGGCTGCACAGTTTATGCAGTCTCTAGGAAAAAGTTGCTTTAAATAGTTTACAAAAATCAGTAATAGTAATAAACGCTGAATGGGTAGTGCATAGAAAGGAGCAAAAGGGTGTTATAAAAGTAAACAGAACCTCTTGTCAAAACAAAAAAAGAAAAAAGAAGATTTTTAAAATGTCAAAAAGTTGGGCTCTCTCTGGTGGCACAACAGGTTAAAGCGCAGAAATACAAAGCTACCTGCAGCCACTGCAGCATGAGTTCAATCCCTGGCCAGCAAGCTGACCCACAAGGCACGGCAGACCTCTCCTGACCCGCCCGCTGCTCCCCTCAGCAGTGGATTTCAGTAGATCTGCCCGTCCTGCTCCCCACTCTGTCTCTCTCTAGTGAATGCTCTCACCCCCTACACCTCTGGCCTGTACCCCAGTTCTTGTTTGCATAAATAAATAAAATCCTTTTTTAAAAAAGTAAAGTTTCCCCCAAAGGTAACAAACAAGAGCTAGCCCTATTTCAAAATACGGGAACCCATGGAGACCATGGAGAGTTAGCTCAGGTCTCTCCTCAGCAGTTCTTGAACTGAAGTAGGACCCAGAGCCTGTGGGTGACTGAAAACTTTTGCATAAACCAAGCTGAATCTTTGGGTTCAGTATGTGCCGAATCGTTGCTGGATGGGCTCGGTTGGCATGCCACGTATTTACGGTAACTGTGATGTTAGCGCTGTTGCGGCTCTGGGGAAGCCGGGCTCAGCTAAGCTGTCTCGGGGTTCTCGTGTGGCTGGCCTGGGTGATCGAAAGCTTATTTAGTTCCATGCCTGCCGGCTGGGACCCGACACCCGCACACTGGCGCTGCACGGCTGGCCTTCCTCCTGTTTCTCGGTCTCCCCGGCTCGCCCCAGCTAGCCTTTCTTTCCGTGTATACGCTTAGAAATTTCTCTTTGAAGGTTCATGATTGATTAGACTTCATTTGACGCGGTGTTTTTACTTTATCACCTAGATGCTGTTAATTTTGCCTTCACTAATTTTCAGGATTTCATTTCAGTGGGGCTTGAAATGATTTTCTCTACCAGCTGGTAACACATTAGAGTAACTTGCACGCCACACCTCTATATTTACACGCTTCTATCTTACCCTTTTTGTGTGCTTGGTGCGCCATTTTACTCACTGACGTTCTGCTAGGAGCTGGGCGGACCGAATTACCCGTGTCAGGTCAGTAATAACTCAGAGGCTGCTGTCACTGGCTCACAATCGTAGGCGGCAGTATTGCTTGACTATCACTATTTTGACTTTTCTGCGAACTTGAAATGTTTCATAATATCATCACTGGGGAGGGGGCGGAATCAATTAGTGAAGAGCCAATATCTGTAAAGCCTCTTAGGATGCTTCTGCCCAGGGCCGGGAGTGTCCGAGGCTTCCCAGGACCCCCAGCTGCGATCCAGGAAGGGGGGATGGTGAAGGGGAGCCCCCACTGTGGGGACAAGTGACCGGGTTCGAGCCCCGCTGTCCCTTCCCGGGTGGTCCTTTCTCAGGCATGCCCCTGAGCCTTGAGCTTGTTTTCTTGTCTGTATTAAGGGGGCAGTAGTCAGGCTGTGTCAGCGCAGATGTGACCAGGAAGGCCAAGTACTACTGTGTCTGCGTCTGAAGAAGTGAGACCCCACAGTAATAACGACTAGTAGATCTTTGTTTTTAGGGTGAGGAACTGATCCACGGGAAGGATTAGGAACTTCAAGTGAGATGCTCTCTGTGGCTTCACTCTGGGGAGAGGGGACTGGCGCTTGGCACCTCCCAGGGCCCTCTAGACCCCGCCAACCGCCCTCGGTGGCCCCCAGGGGCTGTAAACCAGCAGTCCCCAAACCAGTGCCAAAAACTCTCCCCAGCACCTGTGTAGATGCAAATCATGTAAGCCAGGCGGGGCATCTCGCGGGTGGGATTTGGAGTGCATTTCTGCCTGCCTCTCCATGTCTTTTCCACTTATATTTGCACATATGCCAGATGCTCCCCAGAGGTTGCAATTTAAAAATGTCTCTGTACTGACATCCAATAAAACACGCACATCTCAAGTGTAACCATTGCCACAGCCAACGTGGGGTCACCCTTCCCAGTGAATCCCTCTCCGCTCTCAAGGAAACCACTACTCTGCTTCCTGTCACCTTTTTACAATTTCATATAAATGGAATCACACAGCGCGCGGGTTATTCGTTTGCTGCCTCGCAGCTGCAACTTAGGAAATTGGAGTTTGGCTTTTGCAATCTTTCCTTTACCGGCTGCACTGCGACGTTTTTCCAGTAGAGGGCGCCCGCGAGACGCCGCGGGGGGACGGGGTCTGCTTGCAGCTGTCAGACCTGGTTCCTTGGGGCTGGCAGCTGCAGCCCCAACCCTGCAGGGTGCCCCTTCCCCAGTGCGGCCACTTGGGGGCACCCTGCTGCCAACGCCTTCCCGTAGCACCACCGTCTCCCTGGGAATGCTTTCCCCAGCATCCCAGAGAACCGACTTCTGGCGAGCTCCTGAGGGTAGAT